TCATTCTTCAGCCGTAGAGATACTTTTGAATTGTGAGGTACCATTACGAGCTCAATATATACGAGTGTTATTCCGTGAAATAACTCGAATTTCAAATCATTCACTTGCTTTAACTACTCATGCTATGGATGTGGGAGCATCAACTCCGTTCCTGTGGGCTTTTGAGGAGCGGGAGAAATTGTTGGAATTCTATGAAAGAGTCTCGGGAGCCAGGATGCATGCCAGTTTCATACGACCAGGTGGAGTGGCACAAGATCTGCCTCTTGGCTTATGTCGAGATATTGATTCCTCCACACAACAATTTGCTTCTCGTATCGACGAATTAGAAGAGATGTCAACCAGCAACCGTATCTGGAAACAACGATTAGTGGATATTGGTACTGTCACTGCACAGCAAGCAAAGGATTGGGGATTCAGTGGTGTAATGTTAAGAGGTCGTGCGACATGAAGACATTGATAGCAATATGGGGGAAGTTCCCATCAGGCAACAACGGTTCTGCCTGACCCTACTTAAGCATGCATATTATGTCAGTGAAGACTTGGTGTGAAGCCTTGGAGCTTACGTTAGAAGAGCAAAAGGCCCGGGGCTAGGGTGAGCTGAGGGGGGACAGCGTAAGTGAGCGAATGTGTGTAAGCCCAGTCAAACATGACTGTTCTAGGCGGGGCGGGCCACCCACCTTCGAATGGTGTTGGTCCTACGGACCGTGAACGGATTCGCCTCTGGCCTCTGGGCACGTCGGAACCGCATGAGTTCACCGGGGTGGAGCACGGTCCGCCAAAATCGGCATAGGTTAGGTGCTATTGATGGAACATGGTAAGCCTATCTTTCTCCATATGGAAGTGCTGCGGGCATATAGAAATGTGGGTAGAGGAAGCCTCAAAAAGCGAAGGCCGAGCTGTAGGTCACGTGACCTGCACCGAGTTGGTGGCTGACTGGGCTTTTTATTTGATCAAAGCAGATAAGCTCGCCTTCTTGTTATCCAAAAGTCGGTCGAATCGGGCGGGCCCCCGCCCCGGAACGTCGAATGAAATAGGTGGCCGGGTTCTCTTTCTACGACCCTTTTGTTTGTTTGTTTGATAGGCCCGGCCCCCGGCCACCTATCCCTTATGTTTAGGAGCGGGATCCGCCCAAGAACGTTCTTGTGGTGGTACGGAAGGCACGGACTCCGCGAACGTGCCACGCCCCCTTTACTAAACTAAACTAAACTAAACTAAACTAAACTAAACTAAACTAAACTAAACTAAACTAAACTAAACTAAACTAAACTAAACTAAACTAAACTAAACTAAACTAAACTAAACTAAACTAAACTAAACTAAACTAAACTAAACTAAACTAAACTAAACTAAACTAATAGGCGGGGCGCTAACTCGAATGCTTACGAGAATGCTGCTGGTGAATCTGCACCCGCTGGAACTTAGTCAGATGGATCCGGAACTGGACGAACCAGAACTTCCTCATATATAACTCAATCTCCTGCCTTCGCCTCCGATGCTACCTCGACTCCTGCTTCCACTTCCTTCCCCTCTTCTTCAACCCTTGCTTTTGTAACATTGGCTGCTTGGTCTAATTGGCTGGTATACCCTCCCTCCTTTCTAGATCTGTAGTTGTCTGAGGAAAAGAAAGGGCCGTAGAGGCCAACATGTCTAAAGCAAAATGCGAGTTGTGGGGGTCAGACGGCTCGAATAGTACAAGTGTCTAAACGTGCCAAAAACGGCTTTCTTTTTGATAAGCAATCAAAGGGATGCGCCTTAGAAGGGAAGGGTATGGCACTCGCCCGTGCAAAGACGGCTCTGCGAGTCAGCCAAAATCAAGGCGTATAGCCCCGTCCAAATGAGCACAAAGGCAACAAGCGTATCTTTCCTTTGTTCTTGTGGATTGTAGCTAGGGACGAGCTTAGGAAGGATAGAAAGGAGAGTAACCTTTCGGGGAGTATAGATCGAGCGTAGCGAGTTAGTTGATCTTGTTGTTTAATATAAAGTTCTATCTCCTTAGCCACTATCTCGCTAGTTAGCATCTCTCCCTTTTCCTATTCGACGTTCCGGAGCCGGTTAGAAAGCCAGAATAAGGAGTTTGAGCAGTGAAGGCAGCAGCAGGAAAGGTAGGAACAAAGGGGAAAGTACTCCGCCTAGCATTCCTTCCATCTTGAGAATAAATAATAGCCTGTTTAAGCTCTACCCACAGTTCCAAAGTCAGGTTATGATGCCAGTAAGCTTGTTGACAGCTAAGGTAGCGGATCTCATTGCAAAGCTATCAGCATCTCTATCTCTATATAAAGCATGAGCAGCTCCAGGACGAGATCGATATTCTTACTT